CATGTTTCACAATTGGCCAATAATAACGTGTTATTCAATTTCATGTGACGACCAATCACGAGAAAGTTATCCTATATTGGGCATTGCGGGTCCAGGTGATCTACATCTTGTAAAAATTGTATTCTTGATGTCTACATATAAATGATAATACTAACTGCATCAAAAGAGTAACCATAACCCGTACCTGGCCCATACTAAGGTATTACCCGGGGTAACCGCGTTAATTTGGAAAACCGGGGAAATGAGCACGTGCAGCTTCGTGGCCAAACATTTGCGGTTGAGTATTCGACAATTTGGTGTTATCCGGCAATTTATGATCATGATTGACGGGGAATCATCGGCTGAGTTTTAATTTGAATATAATTACATCGTAACACATGAAAAAAAATAACAAGACGACGGGGAAAGCTAACAATGATCAGAATTAGCTTATATGCACAACAACTGGGTTTATCACGTGAGTGCTGTGCCTGTAGCGACGATGTAAATCTATGATCATAAGAGTTTGCCGGATAATGATAATAGAATTCTAAAAATATTGATATTTATTAGGTTTAAGTATTTAATTGATTCCTACTAAATGTCACAACTCAGATATATTTATCGTGCTTGAAGAAGTGTGATATTATTGAAAGACATCAGCAGATTATATGATGTGTCTTCAATGATACTTGCACATGTATATAAATGCTAATTCTTCTCAAGTTAAAATATTAGATAGATGTGATGTCCTTTAATTTTTGTTTTTTAATAAAGAGAATTCTTAATAATTTATTTTGATTAGTAAAACCTTTTTCCAAATTGAATTTTTATCCCTTCCAAGCATCGAAACGAAATGCCTGGACACGTGAATTACAACGCTTCGACTCGATGTCTACCAATCAAAATTCAGATCTATTGTAACTGCAACTTAAACATCTTCCCGAACCTTAGTTCTCACTCTAATGAACGATACCTAATGATATGACTGTTTTAACTTTTAGATTTCTAATCAGAAGTTTTGGGAATCGCATAACTCGACAGTTTTAGGCAGGATGGGAAGTTACCAGTAAGTTAACATAAAATTTAATTATAATTGGTAACTTTGAATTTTTTTGGTAACTTACCATAAAATTTTATCATTTGTCAACCCTGGTTCTAGGCCAAGTTTACATGCACGGTACATCATTTACCACACTAACACTAATCATTTCATGCTATATTAGGTACGTACACATTAATTCTGGACGCTATTTTAAGACCATATAGGCTATTTTTGAAAGACCTATTTCTTAAAATAACGCCCACGAGTGTTATTTCGTTATTAGGGATGTTAATAGTCTAGGTTTGAGATGATCATCTAGGCTATTTTTGAAAGACCTATTTCTTAAAAATAACGCCCACGAGTGTTATTTCGTAATTAGGGATGTTAATAGACTAGTCCTGGTTTGAGATGTTTGGTCTAGTCCTGGTCTGAGACGGTCCAGACATTAGAAAAACCAGTTCAGACTAGTCTTAGGCAGAGCCAAACAGGGCTGAACTGGTCTAGACAACATCCCTACATTTAATACTATTATTATTATTTTTTTTTGCTCACTTATTAAATTAACTTTTTGAACGCGATTGCGCCGCGTCGCGTAGCCATCTAGTCGTACAACGTTTTGTGTCAATTTTATTCAGAAATATAATTTTGGTTATACAGTTCATGTTTGGTATTTGTTTCAAAGTACAAAAGTATATAAAATAATTTTAATTGTAGTATATAAAATAAAGTTAATTTTATATATTATATATAAAATAAATCGAATCTTAGTATAATATTTAGTAATCGAATTTTAGGATAAATAATTATCAGGTGATCCAGCAAAATAGATTGTGACGCAACCAAAAATCAGGAGATCGACGAGTCGAGGTGCTGTCGTTCACTCAAAATTTTACTACGTAATGAAACAATAGCCCACTCATTAAGTAACACGTACGTATAACGTAGTTGGCTATTATTATCGTTATGACTTAATCTGACCCCAAATTTTGGTCGATCTATTGAATTTGGGTTGCGCCGATAATCCATCCGACTCAGATTACAATATACATTTTAAATATGTATGAAGACCTGTCTAGCAATTGAATATGAATTCGCTAATTTGTTCTTTACTATATTCAAAATTTTAAATTATTTCTTTAAAAAAAAAAAAACCAGAATGAAGACTTATTTTTTCATATGTTAAAACCGATTAAAACCGGGTTTAACATATGAAACATAAAACCAGTTCCAAACTCTATAAAGATTGAAACTTTCCGATAGGAAATTATATAATAAAAAAATATATAATATTTTAGACTTGTTAAGAAACTATATAATATAATATGCAAAAATAATTTATATAATTTTCATAATTATAAAACAGTAAATAGATAGATACTTTTTAAATATATGGTATATATAAATTTATTATACATATATATAGTACAGTAAAATAAAGTAATATGATACAAGTCTTTAAATATATATATTTGAATATAAACATTAGTTCAGCTATGCCTTCTAAAATTGCCCCGCAAGATAATGAACCAATAAAATTGTAGTAAATAACTCGATTGCATAAAAAATTGCCCGGTTCACATCTACCTACATACATACAGTTAATAATAGTGCGCACAGATATTTTAATTTGAAATTAAAATCAAGTATTTCCTTGACCTGGCTAAACTAGTTAATGCCAAAAGGGGATTTAATAAATAGTAAAAGTTGTACTCATATTTAACAGAAGGTACATTTCTATTTCGGGGATGAGATTAAGTTCAATGAATTTTTGAACAAGATATATCTTGCTTTAACGTTAAAGAAATGCTTTTTTATTTTGCTAAATTGGGAGTGTTCATTGTTAACGTTAATGCTTGAATAACACTTTAAAGAATTTAAAAGAATTTAAAAGCATCTAATCTTTGACAACGCTGATAACTATTAATCTATTTTAATATATATTTAATATATATACGAACCAAAGGATAAAGAATAAGAAATTTCTTAATTTTATTTTTCATTACTTTTCATTACTTTTCATTTATCGTTTATTTTTGATCCTTAAATTTCACGTAGTTTCACGTGTTTATTATCAATTAATTGTAATTGTAATGTTATAAAATAAACATATATTTCAGTATTTCAGTATTTACTGTATTTACGTACATATTTGGTGTACAATTAAACATTAAATACAATTCGATGAAATTGATGAAACAGGCTATTCCAAATACATATTGTGATTGTGTAATGTTAAAAATGATAAAATTACGCAGTTTGGGCGCAGTCCAGTTCATCAGAGTTTTTCTTTCGTACATGCATATGACCTTGTGATTCTAAATCTAGTCACAACTTATAAATAATAAACGAATATTGAAGATATTGATCTACCAAATTTTCTTTCTTGTAGGTACTTTTCTTCCTCTGGATAGTTATTCCGGGGGAATTTGTATTTGATTTCTTTGATAGTATCATTAAATGCGCACGGTTTTACCATAGTTGCGTTCCAATTGATAAATAACAGTCTACATTTTATCATTAATTTTATCATAGCATTCAAAGTATGGCTTCCGAAGACGAAGGAAATACACAGCCAACTAATCCAAATACTATATCAATGCTATCTGAGTGTGAAGACTTAATGCCAGCTACACCGCTTGAGTCTTCTGCAAGCATTGATACCGATAAAAAAGAAAATCCACAAACCTCATTACACTTGAGTGGCTCTTTCTATTCAGGGATGGATTCCTTGAATATCTTATCATCACAAGAGATAGATACCTCGATGAATGCTGAGCCAATTAACGTAAAGAACAAGAAAAGAACCTTCGATAGCATTTCAGAAGAGAACCCTGATGAATCCCATGTCATATCACATGATACTGACGCACCAGTTTCGAAAAAAATTAATACAAAGACAACTTCAGCTGTTGATCAAACAGAAACTCAGAATGTTCAATTATCGTCTTTTTCATTCAAACCAGTTAAACGTAAAACTCGAAAAGCTATGTATAAAATTACGAATGAAAAAGAAGTCGCTTCTTCTAGTAATAAGAAGGCTCGTCATGATTCTTCTGTACATGCATCACAATCAACATCTTCATATAAGAAGGCTCGTCATGATTCTTCTGTACATGCATCACAATCAACATCTTCATATAAGAAGGCTCGTCATGATTCTTCTGTACATGCATCACAATCAACATCTTCACAGAAATCAACCATTGATTCATCTGAACGAGTTCATTCTGGTTCGTCTAAATCGACTCGAGGGAGGAAAAAAAAATCGACACGTGAAACTGCTTCATCGAAAAATACAAGACCAACATTAAGCCCTGATGGCATATTTTCTGGTTATCGAATCTTTTTTATTCCAAAAAAGATTGATAGCGTTCGTTTGAGATTATTGAAAGAAAAAGTAGTTGAAAGGGGAGGACAAGTGATCGATGGTGAATTTGATGCTTCAGCTACACACGTGATTACAGCTTTGCAAGGACAAAAAATTTTAAAAACTTTAGGAATTCGTGAAAAAAACTTACCTCAGGTATTTAATAAAGTGATCATCGTATCTTTAATAAAATCCCATTGTATCAGCTCTATAATTAATTCAAAATACAGGGTGTCATTATAGTTGAACCGAATTGGATTTCAGAATGTTTAATGGCAAGCATCGTGCTAATTTTTACGCGTTTTTACACTAGTTATAAAAAAATTTTGTAATAATAATATTGTTGTTGTCGTTGTTAAACGTTAGTATGAAAAACTCGTGGATATAGAACCATATATTGTACAGACGTCAGATGTGTTAAGTACCCAGCAAACAGAAAAAAGAGCTCATGATAATGACGAAGATAAAAGGTGCATATAAAAAAAAAAGCTGATATATTATCCATTTTTAAGACTTTAATCTGAATTCCTACCTATCTCAATAAAAAAGAAATGAAAATTACATAAAAAAGAAACCGAGACAAGAATCCTTGACTCCAAAAAGGCGTTCCGTTTCTCCACCTTCCATTTTACCAGAAGTATCTACGCCGACCTATGAATCGTCACCAACTGTCAGAAATGTGATTTCAGGTGACGATCCCTTGACAGAAATGATTGCGGAGACCAAACATCTTGTAGATGAGGTAAATTGTTTATATACTTTTTTGTAGCATAATTTTAACTATATATTTAAGGGTTATGATTTCGTAATCTTTAATAAAGGGTTTTCTGTTGGACGATTATGATGATGAGTCCCAAAGCGTGCAAGGCGAAATATCTGATTCAGAAGATAAGTCAGAAGATGAGATGATCGAATCATCAACGCAGAACGAAGAAGCCTTATCACAATCACAAGAAGTTACTTCTGAGTTATCTACTAAAAAAGCAAATATTTGATTTATTTATTTTTTTACTATTTTTTTTT